TGATTCCCCTGGGTCCTTCCTAGTACAGGACCTTCATTTTTAATCCCAAATTTATTTTGACTGATGTGTTGCAGATTCCGTTGGAAGTATTCTACTTAAAAACAAGCGGGTGCACTCGGCTAGATTTGTCCTTGCCATGTACGGAGCGTATGGTTCGCAGCTGCAGTGACGTACTTTCCTTTCAAAAGTGCACGGGAACCTTGGGGGGAGGGCAGTGGTACCAGAGCGCCGTCTCCACACCCGGCCCGCAACGATGTATCCGCGAGGTGCAGCACTTACGTCAAGGTCCTGCAGCGAAACAGTCACTCAGCGGTAGAGTGACAAAAGTGAAACGGCGCAGGCTAGCAGCACGTTTGGCACGACTAAAGGTGAAGCCGAGGCAGCGCCAGGCAGAGTTTGGGAGTCGGCGGGGGATATCACTCCCCTTCAGGAACCTTCCCGTGCACTTTTGATCCAGAGAAAGTCCCGCTACTGTAACTGCGGACCTTCTCTCCAGACGCTAATTACAAGGGTCCTCAAGAGTACGCCCTGGCATCACTCGGCTGGATGGCCTGGTCGGAAAAATTGACACACACTCCTCTTCTTACCCCTATCGTTGAATACGGACCGTACTTGCTGAAGGGGCTGAACTTTTTCGTAGTCAAATTTGTAAATGTGCTGTATTGAAAGGCCGGAGCTCGAAATCGTCAATATTTTCAGCATGTTCAATTCCCTGTGTAAGAAGCTACCTTATAAGAAATGCCTGATTTTTCTAGGAGACTACTGCCTAGATTAAGTTGACCCTGAACTAATCTTTAGTGGCGTTCTGAGACGGTGGATGTGGGATGGAGCAGTAATCATACCCACTTTGAAGCTTGCCATTTCAGATATCCTGCACAGATTACTCATCACACCTGCTCTTCGTCGTCGGTGACCTTCCACACACTCCATGCGCTTGTGTGGCAGCACTCTTGTACTATTTTGGCACTGCAGGCCGTCTGTGGTGGCTTGTGCTTTGCTGCACATGGAACCAGCAAACAACACGCTCAGGAAACTTGGTCAGTATTTCAAACACTTGTTAAGCAGTACTTATGGATGACTTAATAACAATTTTCCAGGAGAAGTACCGCGTACAAATCCAAGTGCTGGCGTGGGCTGCACCCCTGGGTTTGGTATTATTCGCTCTCATGGCCCGCAGCACAGGTGCTGATCCACTCAGCGGAGTGTGTGTTGTTGGAGCGGCCAGCAAGGTAGCTTTCTTCAACTGTTGTCATAGGGTTCCTGTTTGGGGCCATACTTTGACAGTACAGAAATTGAGGAGGGTCTTCAGGGTTACATCAATTGATTCAGGTGTTGGATGGAGTGTTCAATCTGTTCCGTGATCTAGTCTTCGTTATCGCCGCATGTATACCATTGCTTGTTGGATTTCGTGGAATGCTTACATCGCCGCAGGCCACATTTGGCGCCGGACTGGAGGGTGCGTTATACCCTGCAGCTGCGCTCTTCTACATGTAAGTCATTCCACCACTTTGTTGCCTTTTCCCCACCTAAAGAAGCACTGAGGACAACCTTTCAGGCTTTCATTCATAAACGATGCTTGGCAGCCGTCAATGCACTGGACACGCAGTTGGAACATCGTGTCAGCGCTGAAGATACTTATCGATCCAATTCTGGGAGTACTGGCAGCTTCTGCCTGCCTACTGCACATCATCATCAACCTCTGCCGTGCTATCAGGTACAGTTTCTCGTTAGAATAGTTATCTAATCTGGGAATTAAGAATTCTTACCTGTGGAATCTACAGAAGGGAACTGAGGGCGTCATCAATTTCACCGTCACCATCGGAAAGGAAGAGGAGTCATTTCTTCCCATCTGAGAATGAGGGACACTATGTACGATTGCATGCGTGTGTCGCTAGGTGTTGCCATACAGTACCCCAATTCACATGCTCAGATGGAAGAAAGCGATAACACTCATGCCTATTCATTGTCTTGCCTCTCTTGCCAAGCTTTCCAAACTTCTTACCCCTTTTAACGTAATTCAAAATTATCCCGAAATTTTGCTATCGTGCGGAGGGAGGTGGGGTATGTAGCACCAGAGAAACGAGGAAGCCGCGAAAAGTCACAACAGGAACTCGGTAAATTTCTCTCAAAGGCGAATACGGCCTCCCTCTCTCCTAACGACGAGCAGAGCGCCCATGAAAGAAGAAAAATCAACTATCAAAAAAATTTTCTATCAGACCAAATACGACTCCCTCTCTGGAGCGGCCATTTGCGACCTCCGCTGGGGTTTCGTCAACGTAGGACATGTCGACTCCCACTTGCTTGACCAATGCTTGGGTATAGTTGTTTTTCCTGAAATTTCTCCAGCGCCATGGCATCCGGTGGTCTCAATCTATACTCCTTATCCCTGAGACGGAGTAGGCGTCGCCATTTGGACATGGCATTTGGTGGGTTACTTGTGAAATATTCCAATTGAGATAACTGTCAACTTGTCCTGTGTTGGACAATGACATGGCCATAATTGTATCAAATTGAAAATATCCCACCGAAATCTTAGTCACCCCCACGTTTATAGTTAAAGTACGCAGCCACGCCTACCGCATCTCAGGGATTTCGAGTATAGCTAAAGTGGTGAAGCGCCAACCATCACTGAAGGTCATGCTGGAATATCACTTTGCCCTCTTTTGAAGTAGTTCTAACAATTGTGGTTTACTCTGCCATCTTCTATTCCCGGTGGAATACTATAAGGCCTGCCTCCTCCTCTCCTCATGTCCATGCTACCCTATAAATTACTTTTACAAAAGATTATAATGTTGTTCAGGTCTCCTGTTGCTGACAAGCACGGCTACCAACCGGCTGTGCCACGAATCCCACAGCCAGCAATTCCTGTGAGCGTTCGTTCCCACAACACCTATGCGACCACATCACAACGATTGCCTATTTGCTAGTGATCTCTCCTAGGACAGTACCGTTGTCCTGCGGTCCCATGCTCAGGGACAAGCGCTCCTCAATCTATGAATTAATTGGTTGATTGTGCTATAGACGTTCTCTTGCAGCATTTTTCCATGACATGTGTACATAATTTTTTCTCATGTTTTCTCTCTGTTTAATGTTTTCCTCTTGTGACCCACGATTTGTCGCGCTTCTGAGAAGAAGGTGCTCTTGTTCGCTTGATGTTTGCAGCAGATTGCTTTACGTGATCAATAAATGTTTTATCGCTGGGCTGATTTATTAGTAGGGTGATGGAGGTCTCTAGACGTCACAAGACGTACAAGGACGGTGGCAGTACTTCAACCAGTGGGCACTGATACGAGCTAACTGATAGTGATGCTAGAGAGCTTCTGTAAAACACCGGAAAGACCAGAACAACACTTTGTTGGGGACAACACCATGCTAGTTTTCTGCATCTCATCCTGTAAAACATTCCGCGTCGGTTTCACCACTGTGAAAGCTAGAAACTTCATCTTAGCTCACCAGTGCCGACCACTAATGAGCCATGCCTTTGGATCGCTACCACACAAACAGCAAATTATCATAATTATTTAAGGACCACTTTGGCTGACGCGCACTACTGCGCGTCCAACAATGGTACTGATTACTGACAGAATTTCTGCGCTGACCGCCAACATGGCTTAAAGACAGCTCCCGCGATAAAAGTGTCAAGGATAATTGCTGATCAATTATGAAACAGTAGCTGATAAGTAATTCCTCAATGAAGGAAAAAAGCAACAAGAGCCCTCAAGAACACCACAAACAAAATTGCTCCCTTACAGTTACACCGCCCTGCGGTCCGTGGGCAACCCCTGGCTCACAAATCGCTTTATGGCATTTCCCAGTAGTGGACAACATCCATTTCAAAGAAAACAATATGAAAAACAACAAAGACACAAACGACTTGGAAAAGGAAAGTTCAAAAACCTGGCGTCCAATTTGGGGTTACGTGCAGTGTGCAGCTTTTGGTGCATGTCGAGCTTTTGCACCACAGAAATTGCATCATTCGTGATTTTTACGCGTTTTACTTAGATGGGTTGCAGTTGACTGTATGTGCTCCCAATGAATAAAATGTGATGAAGGAGAGCAGAATTATTTATGGGCACGAGCGCGGTCAGCAAAAAGTACATGCAGTTCCGATTAATGCCCGCCGTCCCAACAAAGAACAACTGAGCGGCTCTCCGTCAGAGGGCAGCTAGCAAGTGGGGCGGTCCAACTGAGCGGGCGTTAGAACTAGAACTTTGAGCGGCTGTAGCTCGCTCCTCGCTCACTGTGGAGTCGCTGGGACAGTATCTAGCTTGGGAGGCTGAACTACCTGCACAAGGAAGGGCGACCATGTACTACTTGAGCGCAAGGCTGTCTTTAATTCCTTTCCGAAACACGGCCCATTCCATCATATTTCACCTTTTCAATGAACATTTGGGGCGACCATGTACTACTTGAGCGCGAGGGCTGTCTTTAATTCCGTTTAGTGATACGGCCCATTCCACTATATTTCACCTTTTCAATGAACATTTGCCAATGTCTGAAGCTTTTCACATTTCTAAAACACCCACCATTCGCTGGAAATAGGACAGCTCAGCTATTGAAAGAATTTTGATGGTAACAATATCGAGATCATAGTGAAATGTCTTCACCTAGTACTCCCGTTGAGCAGCTTTTACATATCAGTCTGTTGATGGCTCTTATCATTCCTCAGTGGCTAACAACTCCAGGCTTTTACTTTTGTTGGGACTCGAGAGTTCAGGGGTCGGATCAATTATGACTGCATCGCTAGAAGGTAGAAAGTGCTTGGCTTACTAGCCTCTGCCCGTTGATTTTTGGATGACGGTGTCCAAGCACAGCTGCAAGCAGAGTAGGGAGGCGAACAGATAGTGACTCGTGTGAGCCCTTGTCGGGCACTATATCACAACTTATGTGTCGAATTTATGTCTCATCACTGAAATCTCCCACCATGTTCCCTAACACCTCTGAATCACTTGCTGGAGGGCAGCTCCCAGTGTTGTTACGACTCGTGCTATGAAGGGCTATGGTGTCTTATCAGCTGTTATCACGTCTTGCCGATAATGTTCCCATCCTGCCCCCTACCTTACTTCTTGGGAAGCAACGTCCTACCGTCGCTGTGACGCACGTTGTGAAGTTGATGACCCTCCCTTTGTGAGACTCCTTATGGTATCTTATCAGCTGTTATCACTCCATGCCACCCACCAGTAATGTTCCCATCCTGCCCCCTATCTTACTCCGTGGAACTAACGTCCTACCCTTGCTGTGGTTCGCGCTATGAATTTGGTGACCCTCCCCTCTTAAGGCTCCCTATGATAAATTGTGGCTTTCCATCACTTCCTGCTACCCATCAGTGCTGTTCCTGCTCAACCACCTACACAACTTGTCGATTTGAGATCTCTATCGCTGTTTTGAAGGACGTTATAAATTTCCGGTCAAACATATGTACACACACACACACACACACACACACACACACACACACACACACACACACACACACATCACAGCACAGCGTCTCGTCACACACACAGCACACACATCACAGACACACACACAGACACAGAATACAGACACAGACCACACACCACACACACCACACCACACACACATCGACAGCACACACACACAACACAACAGCACACATCACACACACACACACACTAGGATGTGCTCCACACACTGTGCCTCCTTCAAAACCGTTGTGGCGTTCGGAATGGAATATGTTCTACTTGGACATCCGCAGCGATCGGATCGAATGAACGATTTCGTCTACTGAACAAGCGGCGCACTGATAATCGGACACCACAGGAGTTTGCTACTCAAAAATGCGCGCGCCGGGAAATGGAAAAGCTCAGAAATTCTATGTTCACTCTACAATTTGTGGTGACGGGAAAACAACCTGATTTTCATGGTATTCAAAGGTTCATCTACGAAAATCCTGATCCTTGCGTCTTGAAATCTCGTCAGTTAATCCCTTTATTGTCAAAAAGGCAGGACAAAGAAGCAGCATCGCATGGGGGGATAAAGCAAGGCTATGCCCTTACAGAGGTACCCTTGAAGGTATTTTGTATATAAAGTTGTGAATGAATAATTCCACACTCACTTCGCATATTGGCAGGGACTGAAGGGGACGTTGCCCACATACTCGAAAGACTTTCACTTTTAATGCCAGTTCTCTCAAGCAACACGAAATATTAACAATTCCTAGCGCTACAGCACAAATCTCATCTGTGCGTGGTCGACGGCTGCTGTTTGAAAAATGTTCCATTGCTGACGATGACTCAAGCGAATATTTAATTCCAGACAATTTATCTGTGTCAGCTGCTTCACACAAGAAGCAGATTGCCCGTTCTTGTCTTTGGTATGAAGAACTCAACAAAATTGCTATCACAAAAAGTGTTTCTGATCGTATCAGCTGCCAGATGTTCACCTGCAAGCTCTAGGAATCCACTCGTCTCCCTTCTCCATTATTATGGACGTTTCCAAGATTTTCGTCATTTTTGTTGCCGCATAAATTTCCGATACCTCTATTCTAAATGGGTGAATGTCAAAGTGACAGAAATGCGATAGAAGGATGAGGGGATAAATTCTTAGCCTTCGAATCCCTTTGTGGGATGCGGCACGCATTCTACTTCCATTCAGAATCGTAGTGGCTTATTGAATGCGATGTGGCCTATACAATGACTTGCGGGGCCAGCCGATGTACAAGTCAGTGTTCCTATCCTCCCAGACGTAATCTTTACCAATTAACCGTCCCCGGAGAGTAGAATTCCCGGATGGCTTTGGCGTGAGTGGACCCGGAAATCCAGAAATGCGATGGAGCCTGCAAGTCTATTTGCAGCGTTTTTTTTCAGAGCCGGGATGCTGCAGGCCAAATGTTCAGGTTGTCACATCGTTCACAGGAGAACACCGCTTGGTCTCCAGCAAAGAAAATCCTACTATATATAATCCACTAAGTATGTCTGTAAGTGTGTGTGTGTGTTTGTGTGTGCGTCTGTCTGTCTGTCACGAAATTCATAGCGCCGGTCCCAGTGACGGGAACACTACTTGGTGGGTGACAGGAAGTGATATCAGTTGATAAGATTCGATAAGAGGCGTTAGAAGGGGAAGGTCACCATATTCATAACGCGGGTGACAGCATCAGCTAGCTCTTGATTCCAAGATATGATATAGGGTATGGGCCAAGAACATTATTGGTGGGTGACAAGAACTGTAAGCTGCTGATAATCGATAAGGGGCGTTAGAAAGGTGAGGTCATCGTATTCACAGCGCAGGTCACAGCATCAGCGAGGCGCACGTTTCAGCAAGTGATATAGAGGGTGAGATGGGGACATCAACCGTGGGTGACTGGAAGCGATAACTACTGATAGGGGCTGATAAGCGACGCTCTAGTAAATGCAGAAACGAAGGAGTGCTATTTGGTTTGCTCCCTCGCAAATGCACATCATTTTCAGTGTAACTACAAAATCCTTGAGTTACAGTTGGCGCGGCTGCGTACTTCGACTAAACGTGGAGGTGACTGCGCTTTGGTGAGACATTTCAGTTTGGTGTTCTACGAGTAACTCATTCTAATCCAAATGCCACACCTCCTCCTCCTCAGGAACAAGTTATATACACTTGTCGGTGGGAAATCAAATTCGTAATAACGCCTCCGTCTCAAAAAGTGGGAGGAAACTACAACGGGAAGGTGTACTGAAGAAATGCAGAGCGAATTCTCATCATACAGCATTTCAAAAAGCTTGGCTTTCAATGCGAACCCGCTAAGCCAATGTGATTGAGATACAGACTGCACACTCACCTTCGAGAGCGGTCCCTGTGTGCGCAGCTGCAGTAGAGTGCCAGTCGCGCAGTCTCTTCATTCTGCGCACGCTTCTAATATGCAGCATTTTTGTCGGCACCGTGAAGCATTGACTCAGCGGTTGCTAACAACCAAAAGTAACTAACAAGTAAAAGGGCGCAGATAAGTGGCTCGTTAGGCCATGGTTATGCGTGTGGCTGGCTATGCGGCACTGCGTGTGGAATATGGAAACGGCACTCGGGTAGATCCTCCAGTTCCATTGTCCGTGCACCATCGACTAGAGATGTAATGAAAAATAATCTCACTGCAGCTGTGCATCCATCCTCCTCCACACACAAGGTCCACCATTAACGGAGGCGAGTATACAACTTGTCCTGAACGCTGCTTACAACGTAGCAGTCATTTTATGCGAGGACGGGTAACTCATGGTATGCAATGGGCAGGGTTGTATTTTGGGTTTTTTTTGCAGTCGCCTTTAAGTGGGTCTCATCGGTACCAGTCGGGTACAACGAACTAACCACAAATCCGATCAAGAGGTGAGTTCATTTCCCCCGAACATGGACCTGTCCAATTGCCAAGGGTTTGTGATCACTGTTTTGATCAGAACACAGCATTGGTATGGACGAAGTGTTTGTCAAAACACTTTCCACGCTAGCAGTGGGCGTCGTACAACGATGCTCTACCCTGACTGGGAGAGTTGCCCTACGCGGCAAGCAATGCACGTTTGAAGAAAAAGCGTGGGATGCACTGTCGCCGACGTGTTGAAATCGTCCCAATGTTCTACCTCTTGTATTCTTAGAGGATTGAAAAATCAGGCATCACTTCCTCAAAACCTCAAAAAAATTCTGCTGAAATCATGTTTAAGATTCTGGCTAGTTACAGCTGATTAATGTCAAATAGTCTGATAAATACCAACGCAGCACGCTGTTATATGCATGGCGTTCATTCTCGGCGCTGGCGCTATTCGGTGCCAATAGGAAGTAACGGCCCCCACTTTTGTCACCTCAATCCATGAAGACTTGCACACTGGACTTGTTCGCCTGCTTCTGTGATGCGAGAAGAATGCTGCACAATGAGCTGCCCTGTAAGAACACACCGTCATCGCTACTTGTGCCGCTGAGCTCCAGAAACCCGTGGAAACTGTAGGGGAAAAAAGACAGAGACTAGCTTTGGAGCACCTCGCTCATGAGGACGCGAGGCCCCATACTGCTATGGAGACCTACCAAATAAAGGGAGCAAGGCTGGGAGACCGGATCCCGCTCATCATATTCTCCTAACAGAGCCCCTCCGACCACCACCTGCGCCGCCCCCTTGGGGCTTTCGCAGGTAAGAAAACGTTCAGCAAATTTGATGAGTTAGTCGAGAAGTTGCCTACTTCTTCGACTCGCAGCCTCCCAGTTCTGGGAGAAGGGGATCGCTGACTTGCCCATTAGGTGGAGCACTGTAGTGGCTAACAATGGCGATTATATTATTGATTAGTTTTTATTTCATGTTGAGTTAGAAAATAAAAAAGAAAAATCACAACAGTGACAGACTTTCTTTCCAACCTAGTATTCCAACGCATTCTGCGCCATGTTCAAATTTATATAAATGTCACACACCGAACCATCGTCTGCACGAATAAGTAGACGAACAAGGAAAAATAACAGACGGAACTTTTATTAAAAATTGCCGAGTACAAATATCAGCGACGGCAGACTTATAGCTGAAGCGATGGAGAGTCGCCAAATGAGGGAGAGTTGTCATCATCATAAGGGGATTAGATATGGAGAAGTGATGATTAAGGCGTATCGTTAAAGATTTATCGTTTGAAGAGTGCACTTCTTGTGTTCATTAGATAGGCATTGTGTCGTCACGATCTTTTCTGCACAGCACCTTGAAATCGAGAACATTTCCGTAATGGAAGAGTATCTCAGAACAGACTGACGGTTATCGTATGCTTACCTTCAGCTTACGTATTTTTGGTCCATCAAGAGTCATCACGCGACCGTCAATGGCGACATCGACGCGTTCCTTTTTCAAATTCACCGACCCTATACAAATAGACTGATTCCGAATGAGTAATCATTACTATTCGATGTTCTACCGGCGAAATATTACCAAGTATCTCGTAGGCATCTGCTTGAACCACGCATGGTGCAACGTAATTCAGATGAACGGGTACAAAATCTTTGTCCATGTAGACTGAGGCCTGGAGTTGTGACACTATTTGACTTTTTACCCATAACTTAACATGCTCGTGGGAGTCACAACAACGTAAACCAGCAACCAAATCAGTCGTGTCAATGCGACCCTAACCCGAAACCTCTTCTTTGGTTACTTTCATACTTTGCAGCAAAGTCCGCCAGCGACCAATAGCGTCCACCGTGTTCCGAGCGTCAGCGACTAGGAATGTATAGATATCGATCTAGCGAACGGCAGCATCTATCAGCGACTGCCAACGACTACCAGCACCTAACAGCGACCAGCAGCACTCGGGGTGGAGAGTGCGGGGTGACAGGAGGGTAGTAGCAGCTAGTAGAATGGTGAGATGGGAGGATAACAGACTGCTGGTAGAGAGTATGGCGCGATAGGAGGGTAGCACACAGCTGTTACCCCTATCGCGCCATACTCTCTACAGCAGTCTGCTACCCTCCTATCTCCCCATACTCTACCAGCTGTCTGCTACCCTTCCTATCGCCCCATACTCTCCACTCCCGGACACTGCTGGGCTGGTAGTACGCTAGCAGACGCCAGATCGATACCTATATATTCCCAGCCGCTGACACCGGCCGGAAGCTCGGAGCTCTGAGTGACGCTATTTTGCTGGTGGACGCTGCCGCAAAGTGTGAACGCAGCCTAAGGCTCACAAGACGAAGGACTAATCTGTTGTTATTTCCCCCGCTTCAAACTCGATCTGTAGAGCTTCCTTGTGAAGAACCAGTTCGGCACCATTCGTTAAATCGTAAACCGTAATCCACAAAGCGCCCGATCTTGCTAACCATGCCACAATCGAGTTCCAATACTTCCCTCACGAAGACGATGAAGTGTAGATGAATGCTTTGTAGATGTCAAACCTGTTCGTAAGGCAGCCAGCAATATTCGAAGCCAGCAGCCGTGGCCGGAAGCTCGACAAGCATTTGCATGGAGCCGACAAGATGTCCAGTGAATTCATGACCGTCACTGAACATAGATGGGGTCAAAAGTTTCATAGTAACAGCGACAGCGACGTTTCATAGCCAAGGCCAAC